GTTCTAGAATCCCCTAAATTACCCTACTATTATAAATTTAGAATTTTGGAATTCTTTCAACTAAAAACCCTAAACATTAAATATGTGAGTACACTAACACATAAACTCATGTATTATATAAGTAATTTCGTTTATGCTCCAACTTGATAAATGTGATTAAAATAAAAAATTACAATGCATATTCTTACTTTAGATAGTAAACTTTCTTTTTCTCAAAAAATCTTCCAAAACTGTCCGATTTATCTGTTTTTCTTAAAATAGATAAATCAGTTTTTTTTTTTGAAGCATTAATACTACTGTTTTTCAGTGATCCATCATTACATCTCTTTGAAGTTTTTTTCTCCACTCTAATATGATCAGTTATTTTTAATATATTTGGTTGTTGATTTAGAATACAGTTAAATAATAAAACATTAAAACTTTAAATAAATATTTAAATTCTTAATTTACTACATTCTAGTGTGACATACAATAGTGAACTAACGGATTTCATTTTTTCAAATTTACAAAATCCAATAATTATATTAATAATTTCAATAATAGAAACTGTAAGTTATAAAAGAAAATATTTAAAGCAATATTTAAGTTTAAAAATATAATTANTTTTAAAAACTTTGTTTTTTTAAATGGTAACACATATTTTTAATTTAATAAAATGTTTGAGTTTTTAATTCAATAATAAATGGCGTTTGAATTTTTAATATAACTTTATTAGCTTATTAGATATAAACATTTAAAGTTTCAAAATTTTGAGTTAATATATATGTATAATACACATGGGATTGTAAATACAGGTAGCTAATTGGATTTTTATGACATTGCTGTCTCAGTCACGGATTGTTTATTATCAATTATGATTATCAATAGATATACTTTCTGTATTGTCAGTTAGTGTATTTATAAACTCATAACAATGTGCCTTACTACAATTGATAATAACAATGCTGTGTACCTGCTAATATCGATGTCATAAAAAATCAATAAGCTACCTGTATTTGTAATCCCTTGTGTATTATACCTATATATTAACTCAAAAATTTGAAACTTTAAATGATTATATCTAATAAACGAATTAAGTTTTATTAAAAATTCAAATGCCATTTACTATTAAATTAAAAACTCAAACATTTTATTAAATTAAAAATATGTGTTACCATTTAAAAAAACAAAGTTGACACCCTTACCAGGCATAAGGGATGAACTTAAAAAGTATTACTTAGTTAATAATTCAAGAATAATGTGTAACTAAAGGTAATAATAAAAAAAAAAATTTTAATTATTATTATTCTGTAAGTTATTGAGTGGGTTATGATAAAAAAATCATCCTGTATATAGTATAACCAAAAATATTCTATTTTTGCTATTTTTTTTAACTTTTGATATTATAATAACATATGTTAGAAATGGATAGAACCCTACTAACGTAGAAATAACTACCATCAGTGAGTATGATTCTTAGTAAAAAGACATAATAGTCATTGTAAATATTTTTTTGAAAATAACCTTGTAATAATGAAAAAAATTTAATTTAAATTATAAATCAGGCACATAACTGTTCTGTGTTGGAAGATATTTTTTGTGCAAATTATCTAGTCGTATAGATAAATGATAGAAATCAAAGATTAATTTTATAAATAATAAATATTAATTATTAACTAATAAATAAAATACCATAATACACAATAAATATAAGTAGGGTAATATATGGGATTTTAGTTCCCCTCGCTTCACCCACCCCACCACATTGTGTGTAGGTGTGGAGGGGGGAATAAATTCAACGTAAACTAACATCATGTAATGGGAGGAAAACGCGATGACAAAACCCTTTTTTTTTTCCACGCCCGGCATTAATGTGGTCCACCCAGTAACTACCGTTAGGTATTGCTTCAGGGCGGCCCACGGCGTCTAAAATTCACATCACTAACTTGTGAATCAGCCCGAAGTTAATCAAGAGCTGATTCACAACGTGGTGTGGGATCCGTTGCCCAGGTTGCACCGTGTGGAGGTAGGGGCAGGACTTCGCGAGGGTAGGCTTAATAATTCACAAACATACATAAAACATAAAAACACATATGCAATAAACACCTACGGCGTCACTCGAGCCGACGCCGCAGGTACTCCTACCGGAGCAGTCTCTGCCTCAGGCGTTCGGCCTCCTCTTTTTGCCTCATCACCGATTCGGCGAACGCTTGGACCAGTGACCACCCCTCGTGGCTTCTCAGCATTAGGTCCACCATGGAGCCCACACCAAACGTTGACCCCGAGCGAGCTTCCAACTCCTCCCGCTCGCTGGCCCACGCCTCGCACCGGAAGTGCGTATGCAGTGCATTGTCCGCTTCTCCCGGGCGATCCCGACAGTGATCGCACATCGGCGCGGCTGTCTTGCGAATACCGTGAAGGTATTCGTTAAAGCAGCCGTGACCGGACATCACCTTTTTTTTTTTTTCCTCCGATCGGTTTAGTTATGGGCCGCCCTAGAACTACCGTTAGGTATTACGACGCTGTCTTTAAAACTCACACAACCACGTTGTGAATCAGCCCGAAATTAATCAAGAGCTGATTCACAACGTGGTGTGGCCTCCCCCGTTAGCCGGATCCCAGAGTGGAATCCGTTGCCCGGGTTGCACCACGTGGAGGTTTGCGAGGACTTTTAACATAAACACGAATACCTAAGGCGCCGGCCTGCCTTAGGTCCTCCTGTACCGGGCGGCGCGGCTGCCTCTGTCTCAGGCGTTCAGCTTCCTCCTTCTTTTCCAAGATGAATTCGGCGAACGCCTGGACGAGCCTCCACGCCTCCCGGCTTCCCAACATCAGGTCCACCAAGGATCCGACTCGTAGCAATTACAATTATAATAATAATATTATAATCATTAGAGAATATATGTTCCAGCAATTATTATCGTCGTCGTCGGAAATGTCATACAAATTACAACTAAATTAAATCACAATTATAAAAATTGTTGGTCATTGGTTAGGGGCATGTCTAGTTATTGCGCCATAATCTCACCAAATGAATTCGCGCAAGTCTCAATAAAATCATCATAGACCATTGTTATATTTATAATAGTAGTATATAAATAGCGGATACGGGCTCTCAAAGGTGCCGACAATGACGTAATATATTGTTCTTAGAACAATGGGGCGCTATTGTTCTTGGAAAACAATAGGAGCACTACGGGCTCTCAAAGGTGCCGACAAATGACGTCATCTATTGTTCTCGGGGAAAACAATGGGTGTACAGGTGTGCGGTGGTACGGGCTCTCAAAGGTGCCGACTAATTACGTCATCTATTGTTCCCGGGAAAATGTGCAATGAGTGCACAGGTGAGAAGCATTCCGTCATGGTGACGTCACACCTGACCTACCGTCACCCCCCCGGCACCGGCGCCCGTGGGGACTGCATCCAGGTGCAGCTCGTGACGTCATCCCCCTTGTTGACGACGTCACATCATTGACCAAAGGGGTAAGCTGCTGTGACGTCATACCTAAACATTGATATTAGGGGTAAGCCCTATGGTGGCCGACGTCACACTTCAGCACTGGCCCAAGGTAAGTCCTATGACGTCATACCTAAACCTACTATAGCTGGCTCGTTACACACACACACACACACATACACAATCCCTATGACGTCCCGCTAACGTAACTCTGTGCTATAATAATGTGAGCCCTAGATGCCCTATCACGTCGTGCGCAATGACGCTTGTGCCCGACCGGCGCGAACGTCGGATCCACACGTGTCCTAACAAGTTTTTTCATGTTTATTTTTTTTTTTTACCACACTAATGTATTTATTGATGAATCATCATGATTCAACAACATTCCCTTGTTGTTGACGTCGTATACGACCGTTAGAAATGTCTCTATTTAGTGATAGTGTGTAGTTTCATCAGTAGTATTGTTCTACGACGCTTACGAGATGGATCTCTTGGAACGAATTAACATCGAACTAGATACGATTGTCGACAGCAACCTTACGGTAGAAGTTTATCATCGACTGGCCGAGTTGCGCGGAAATTATTCCCAGTTGCTGGTATTGGCCGATAAATGTGAACGTCAAAGCGCCANCATTGTTCTACGACACTTACGAGATGGATCTCTTGGAACGAATTAACATCGAGCTAGATATGATTGTCGACAACAACCCCACGGTAGAAGTTTATCATCGACTGGCCGAGTTGCGCGGAAATTATTCCCAGTTGCTGGTATTGGCCGATAAATGTGGACGTCAAAGCGCCAATTGGCATTATGTCGGGTGTTTTTGGTCATCGAATTCGAACGAAATACGAATCAATGGACCACCAAATTGTATGTGTAGGATTGTGAGATGCCTGTACATAAAGTTATTCGAATGTCAAATACGAATTTATGGTTAATGGTACGGTACAGCAAATTGACGATCAGTTTATCTAAGTAAATACAAATCTAAATGTCAATAAAAAAATAGTTTATTATCGTTATTTATTATTACATTATGTCATTTATATACAAAAATATCACTTAAAATAAAAGTATATATTATATGCAGATTTTTTTTAATTTTATTTTGTATCCTACTGATTTCTATATTTACAATTTGCGCACTTCTCCGGTGAATGCATTGTATTCCATTTGACAGTCGTGTATGATGACGCAGTACAGCGAAGTTTTAGCGGGAAATTGCTCTGCACATTCAAAATCAATACGTAGATCCACTGTGGACGACTTGACGGTATCGTTTTGTTTTGAACAATCTATGACGAATATAGGTCCGATTTTTTTGTAGCTGATTCGATCCAAAAAAGGGTATGGGTTCATCTCTCCATAGTACATTGTTTGAAATTGTGCGTACGAATTATAAAATGTCGAGAATTTGCCTTTGTCGAAATCTGCATTATGGTTTTCATACGGGTACTCGTCAGTGTTCAAGTATGCCTTGATGTTACGCAGGAAACAATGATTGAATTCACCGTGTACCCGTTTATTGGCATCTGTGACCATGGCTACGAGTAAATACCTAGGTGTTTCAACACCCGAGAACGTACGCACTGGCCATGCATGAGTGGTGGTTTGTGGTACAAGGGGATATACAGCAGTGTCCCAATGTTGAAACTCTAACGGTAACCATTTTTTGCTGTCGAGTATGCGCATCAGACCCAATTCCGTTTTCACATTTGGTTCAAAGTATTTCACGACCCATTTAATTTTTGTGATATTCACTTTGGTTTGTCTGATCAGCGCAATATTTTCTGCGGTTAACACCGAAGCTTTTTCTGCTTCGTCTTTTGCCGGTACCAATGCTACGGCGCAGTGGTCGGCATTCGATCGGATGAGTATGAGTGTTTGCTTACAGTTGATCAGTGTACGCCGATACCGTTCGAAAAATCCCATACACATTGACAACGGACAATGAGCTACAAATTCGGAATGGTCCATAAAGTTTCCATCATCGTATAATTTATTCACGTTTTTCCACCCGGCTGGATGTAACCGTACGACATCGTTGGGCGTGAACGAACAATATCCTTTCATAGCCGTAGTCACACCAACGTTTTTTACCTTATCAATTTCTTTATTGTTAATCTCAAAACGAATTTCATCGAAAAGATTCATCATACAGTTTTGATTCATTACAATGTTACCAACTGCTCCTGTGGGTTTTGCAATACTCCCCTCTATTTGCAAGTAACTTTCACACGGTATGGTGAATTTTTCTTTGTTGCGCAACTCAATGCGAATCTCATCGTTGTTTCCGTACGAGTTGTTGTAGCTTTGGTGTTCCAGGTAATATTCTCGTTTCACGTTATCGTCTTGAGAGGATTTTTCCAAAACTTGTAGATACTCTGTCATTGTTGACGACGCGGCAGCCCAGTGATTTTAGATATGCGATATTATCTTTCGTAAGTTTCCTCGGCGTCACACGGTATGTTCGATTCGCAGTCCAAGACCGTTTGATGGAACCACCACCGTAACGTATCGACTTGGGCTTCACTGTTGTTGATGATGATGATGATGATGATATGGTCGTACGATTGTTGTTAAAAATCAACGGCATGTTACAACCATTCGCTACCCGGTGTGTTCAGAAAGTGAGAGATGTATCTATTTATGTCTAATGTGCAAGCGTACGGATAATTCTTCGTCTTTGAGATTTATTTGGTATCCTTCTTGATTACATAGAACGATTCGTACCGTATCCAACACATTTGTGTTCAATGGGTAGTAAACAATTTGCCTGGGAACTTCTATAATGCGGTAGCCTGGTGGCACGCTGGGAGAAAACTCATGTAAGGCGTGTGATTGTTTTCCATTGTGGTACGAACCCACAATAATATTACAATCCACTCGAATAGACGTAATCGGTGTTATTGTCACTGGATAATCCGATACATGAGTCTTACGTGGTTCCAAATACCGAGGATTGAAACCCAATAAACGGCAAAATGATCTTTCATGTGAGAAATCGATGGGATGTTCACACATTATTTCGCAATGCATCGTCACGTGGTTCACTACGATTTTGAACGACGAGGTCACTTTTCTATCTTTAAATTTTTCAACGATTGTATATTCAAAGGAAATTTTCTCGTACTGACTGGCAATATATTTGCTCAAGTCTTCCAATTCATACGTACCAACGGGCAGTGTTACTTTCAGCAAGGGTTCCTGACCGGGCAATCCAAAAACGATTATATTGTTAGTTTCATCAATGTTTGGCATTATGTTCCAAGTGTGTAAGCTCAACAGCCCAATTTCACAGTTATCGTCAACGTCAATGTGTGGATGAAATCAGCATTCAATTTTTGATCCCCTACCTGTCACGGTTATCGATGACGGTTTTGTGTTGGATGACATTTTTTTGTTCTATAAGAAATTTTAAACACAAGTGTCCACAATTCGTTTCGTCGAAAGTCTGATAGTTTCTGTAGTTGTATGTGATATTACAGCCGTTAAAATACCGTAACACTTCCAATGGCGGCGGTAAATTACCAAAACTATCAAAGTACGTAACGTGCTCACCACGTTTACTGTATGCTACCCAATGTGTTCCGCTATTGCTCGAAACGTCCAGATTAATCACGCCCATTTCATTTGTATGTGGTTGTGTACGTGGTAATGTGTCACGACAAAATACACCACGAAATACACGTGGATCGAGCACATGACGAGCGAAATGCTCTATTTCATTATCGTATAATGCACGATTGGGTAGCAGCGGAATTAGTTTTTTTTCACTCTCTGTTTTGAGCGACGTTTTTGTGGTTTCCTCTTCTTCTCGATCCGGTAACCGGATCCGTAAGGACGAATGTACAGTCCTTTACCCACGTTAACACCAGTACGTCCATTGCGAATGAATTCACTTGCAACCTTTACTACGTTTGCAGCTCCGCCAGCTAGTGCTCCTAGTGCTGACAAACCGGCAAAAATTGGAATTAACGGCAACACTCCTCCGCTTTTCGGGATGTTTAATATGCGAGGTACACTCATCGGACTCTTCTTGATGATCACACGTCTAGCAGCGAGCAAAGCTTTTCGTGCAGCATTTTTCAACGATGTCGGAGACGCCGTCACTATTTTATTTTTTTTTTTCAATCCCATACCGAGTTTGCGTTTCAATTTCATTGCGTTTGTCACACCCCAAGCTACGGCTCGTTCTGATAATTTTGCGTCCTTTAAACGCACTCGATCCCACGCACGATGTTCTAGAATTTCATCGGCTCGATGCCAATCCCCGAGAGAAATACTTTTGGAATACGCGATATCGTGTTCACGGCATGCTGCGTCCAATGGATTGATACCACGGTCTCCAAATGCTAAACGTTTCTGTAATTTAGTTCCAGAACCGGCAAACTGGTAACCGGGCACGTGGGCTTCAAAAGGAAGGTTGTTTATAACTGAATTGACAATACCGGATCCCCGTTTCCGATGTCGACGTCGTTGTAGCGTTTTCATTGTACTTCTAACGTCCTAGTTCACACTTACAATATTATATATATATATATATATAATATCGTAAGTGTGATGAAAAAATAACGCTATCTGTTGATTGCCCTACGCAATCGAGGTCAATACGTTACGAGCAACAACAAAGTTTTTTATTATAATAATAATAATACACAGAAAATGATGGGTAAATGACGACGTGCGATGCGTTTTGAAAAACAGACAGAAACTCTGCCCGTGGTCAATTTTGACGATCATGTCGCCACCAATGTACAGCACAGTAAACACGGGAAGTTATTACCAAACAGTGTACGTTGTCTGGTTTGTGGTCCGTCAAACTGTGGTAAAACCAATTTAATGTTCGCGCTGTTGACCGACTTGAACGGATTGAAATTCGAAAACGTTTACATCTACTCGAAATCGTTGGAGCAGTCGAAATATCAACTGTTGATTCGAGTATTGGAAGATGTTGAAGGGATATGTGTGTTCACATTTACGAACGGTGATGAAGTTCCACCAGTGGACACTGTTCTGCCAAATTCAGTGTTTATTTTCGACGACGTGGTTATAGAAAAACAAAACGTAATGTGCGATTATTTTGCGCGTGGCCGACACAAAAGAGTTGATGTGTTTTTTCTCTCGCAAACATTGTCTCGTATACAAAAACAAATGTTACGAGACAATGCGAATGTGGTGGTGTTGTTCCGACAAGACGAAATCAACCTACGTCATGCATACGACGAATACGTGTGTTGTGATATGAAATTTAACGAGTTCAAAGAGTTTTGCAATCAGTGTTGGAAAAACGATAAATACGGGTTCGCAGTGATATGTACGGATTTTGATCGCGATAGTGGTCGATACAGGTACAGGTTTGACACGTACGTTACAATATGAACACCGCCGCCGCCGACAAGGAACGACGTTCGATGGAACTGTTGGATCAAGCCCGGGACAACGTTAGACGAAAATATGTAGAATTACGTCGTGGTGAGTCAGAGTCGTTGACTCACATTCAGAAAAAACTAGCACCAATAATCGAACCATTGAATAGGATATCCAATGTTGTTAATGTGCAGCAGCAGCAGCAGCATCATCAGAAACAATCGCAAGAAAATAGCTATTCAAAGTTATATTTTGCACATCTTATAGAACAGTGGACAAAAAATCCATTGAGAGATAAACAATACGGTCCTAGAATGCATATGGACGGTAAACTGAGCATGGGTAATGCAAACGATATAACCGTAGACAGTGACTTTATTCGTGTAAATGGAACAAAACACCAATTGACGATTGGACTAGTGAATTTGTTGTTTTCGAAAAACCCCGTTGCGTTCACCGACGAAGATTTGGAAAAGTACAAAACAATATTGGAGGAAACCGGAGCTCATCTAAACAAAAATATGGCATTGAAAAAGGGAGGTGTTAAATACAATGAAGTTATCGAGCCAATGTTCAGCAACGTAGGATCGGGACTACAGCTGAGAGTCGGTGAAAAAAAAGATTACTTATACTGGGACGATCCCAATGAACTTGTCGAACGTCTGAAGCTGCTCATATCGGCTCAGTCGGCTGGCAACACTGGAGTGTCACCCGAGATTGTTTCCATACTAGAAGAACTTTACGAAGCCGGGTACATTGCCGACATACCATCTACATTATGAAACCTAAAATTGCGTACGAACTACATCGACCGGCCCGGAGAACGTACACTCGAACACGGGTAAACATCAAAGGACTCGATAACATATGGCATGCGGATCTTGTGGAAATGGGCGCATACGCGGATCGTGGTCACCGATACATTCTAACGTGCGTGGACGGGTTTTCCAAGTACCGTTAAAGAGTAAAACGGTCCTAAACGTGACCACAGCAATGTCGGGTATTCTTGAACAGGGTCGTCATCCAAAGCTGATGCAAACCGACCGTGGTACAGAGTTCTACAACCGACATTTCCAAGCGTTGATGGACCGTTACGGGATCCGTCATTATTCAACATTTACCACGATGAAAGCGTGTCTTGTGGAACGCTTCAATCGCACACTGAAGACTGTCATGTGGCGTGATTTCACTACACGTGGGTCGTACAAATGGGTAGTCAGGTTGCCTGCACTGGTCTACGATTACAATAACAATCACGTGCACAGAACAATCGGCATGACACCGGCACAAGCTGTTGGGAATCCCAGTGCAGTGGAAATCAAGTTGCGAAAAATACCCGATAATTTACCGATTAAGTTTCGAGTGGGCGACAAAGTGAGAATAAGCAAAACGAAATCCGTGTTTGACAAGGGCTATTTGCCCAACTGGAGCACCGAGTTATTCACAGTGACCAAGGTCAAACGAACAGTACCGCCAACATATTATCTGGAAGATTACCAGGGGAACCCCATTCAGGGTGTATTTTACACCGAAGAGTTGAGCAGGACCCAGTATCCGGACACGTATTTAGTGGAACGGGTGTTACGCACACGCGGAGACCAGTGCTTCGTTAAGTGGTTGGGTTTTGGCCCGGAACACAACTCATGGATATCGAAAGCAGATTTCTCACGGCAATGATTGTCGACATTCAGGGCCTGGTGGCTGCCGCCGACCATTCGTTCTTGGTAAAAGAAATGACCGTCATAGACCTGGAGTCCATGTCTATGGCCCACTGGGTGTTCAAACACCCAAACATCATCAAGGACGATGTGAAAACCACTTACTGGCTAAAAAAGTACCATCACGGCTTGGACACGAACATTGGCGACGTGGAATACACTGAACTACCGAGAATAATGTCGTTGTTACGGTGCGATACTATCTACGTGAAAGGCGTGCAGAAAAAACAAGTGTTACAAAAATATTTACCCGGACAGAGGGTAGTCGAAATAGAGAAAAACTGTCCACCACTGCGGAAATTATGTGTGGAATTCCAACCACGTTGTATTCGTCACATAAATAATCATGAAATGTGTAGCTTGTATAAAGCAATGTGTTTGAAACAATGGTTAACGGATAATTCGTAATTGTTTTATTTACATATTTTTATAAAAAAAAAATTGGTTAAAAAATTACAAAAAATGTATTGATTTATTTTATTAAATAAAACTAATGTACAATTTTGAGTTAATTTGTTTCTTCGTCGTCGTCGTCATTGCCTAGAGAATAATGCCCCCACGCTTTTGTATACACGTCCTTTTACTCTCCTTCGTCACCGATTAACGCCCGCTTATCGTAGTTGTTGTTGTTGACCAACGCGAGTTTATTAATTTCAACTGTCGAAACACTATGGTGTTTCGTGCGTATTACGGACATTTTCCTACGGGTTTGCTTGAGTTTACCACGCAAGCAATTCAAATAGTCAACCATTTTGATTTCATGTTTCACCACACCCATGCTCATGCCTTTCAATCGCTTCACCTCGTCCGTTTGCCACGTAACCAACAACCTGTCGTAGTAATTTTGTATAGCGATTGAATAAGCGTACACTTTGGGTAACAATGCGATAATTTCTTGCATATGCTTACCCTTGCATTCATCGGTAAACGTGCCCGGTTGTTTTTTTCGTCGATTGGTGTAACAAGAGTGGTCGATCGGGTAATTCGACGTGTCGAAATATTCGAATAAGTACTTTTTCAAATCATCGTGGAAACAGTTGGTCGTTATCAGGTAAATGAAACTATCGGTGTCCATGTAACAGAGTAGGAGTCGCTCTGGTCCGTACAACGGCATCATAACCTCGTAATGGAACTTGTACATTATGCATTTACTTATATCCAATATAGCCTGTCCAATAAAAATGGGTTTGTAAAAATTGATCTTCTCCTTGTACATGTGCACTGCAACCAGATTTTTGTTGAATACGGTGGTGTGACTAAACGACGGTTTTGCCGCTAACCTCGACAGTTTCTTCGGGTTGCACACGAGTTGTATGTTTTGGTGTTTCCGTACGTTCTCCAATGTTTTTCCTGTTGAACGCGAAACAAATAAGTTAAAAAAAAAATTACAATCAAAGTTTGGAAAATTAATTATATGTTACCATAGTTTGAGTTGATCATCAGTTTAGCCATGTTTTGTCCAAACGTGGTGGTCGCTTTTTTACGCAATTCCGTGTTCAACTGAATGTACGGTGCCAACCAGCGGGATTGCATAAATTTTATACATTTATGCAGTTTTGTTACGATCACATTTTTTACTAAATATTGCTATTTTTATTTATTACCCACCATACCTTTTATATGTTTTCATATAACACACAAGATACAATATTAAAAATGTTCATTTATTTATTTCAAATTACAATAATATATAAGAATGATAGTGATTGTATTATTTATATGAAAATCAAAATAACAAATAATAGTAGTCTTATTTCGTTATTTTATTATTTTGGATAAATAACTGACCCTTACATAACAATATATGTGTACAGCTAGGAGACCAACGTACATGTTCTACCCATGGGTCGTCTTCATCATCCCAATCTTTCAAACCTTGACTGCAGCAGTAACATAACATTTGATCATTTTGTCCATTACCTATTAATCATATACACTTATAAATTAAAGTATTTGAATAAATGTACGAATCATAAAAATTCATTTAATAATATATAGTCCCATACCTATGTATAAAAATCCAGCATCACAAAGTGTTGATATTTTTGATTCCAATTTTTTTGGACAGTTTTCAAAAGTCTTTAAACGAGTGTTATAATCGGCAAACTCTTTGTGTTTAGAGAGTTTAATTCTAGGCTGCTGGTCATTAGACGTCGAACAATAAAATCCACAAACATCATATCCTGAACAAAAAAATTAATTGAAAAGTAATTTCACGTAGATAGTATCGCACCGTAACATACAGTTTTAATTTCTTACCTGAATTTTCATTGAGGCGATTTTCATACGCCTTATACGTTTCATTTCCACTGTCCATTTTTAATCGAATACACATCGATACTAAATGTATAACCAAACAACAGTGTAAGTTGCAATCAGTGGAATGATTAAACTGAGCAAATTAATTTTGTGTGGGTACTAAAGCTAGTAAAGTCACACATGGTCTGATTTTTTTTTTGTAGATTTCATTCAACGCGTGAAAATACTACAACTCTCTTAAATTTTTGAAAGATGTATTAGTATAGTAAATTTTTTTACATATTAAAATGAGTTGTTTTTTTTTTAGTTTCACATATAAAAATAATTAATTATTCAATTTATCAAAGTACGATATCATTTGTAATATTTACATTACTATCTTGAAAATCATTAAAAAAAAAAAAACATTATTAGTCTAATTTCGTTTGTCAGCTATTTTGTTTAAATAACACCCGTTGAAATTTCAATGGCACGTTCGTTCTACTGTTTCAATACGTTTTTCCAATATAAAAACACGATCATCGATTGCTATGTAATCTCGACCGAGCGCGTCCAAACGATTAGTTATTACAAAACAAGTTATTTTTTAAATTGTCGATGTCATCCGCATCGTCGTATCCGCTATCGCTGTCGCTACTGTTTACGATCTGATATCTGCCACTGTCAACGGTGGTTTGTGTGAAATGCATTAAAATCAAAAAGATTGTTGCAGCCGTTATGCAAAAAAATAATCCGATACGCGAAGCGTCCATCTGTTTAATATGCTCCCACAACGTTTTGACGGTTGTGCTGTCGCTGACACTGTCCATTGTGTTTGCTGTACAAACGTACGGTGACTTCTTCAGGTCATTCGCAAAGTCGTGGTAAATATTTCGTGCGATTGACGTCCACCGTGGAAGGACACTACAATAATATTGCAATCACAAGTGTTACCTTTGTTATAGATATGTGTTCAGTAATCGGTTATATTTTAAAATAACAAACACATTAATTTCAAGATTAACAGACTTTGGCTATTTGTACTGTACAAATGGTACGCATCAATAAAAACCGAATATTGTATTTCAATGTTTCAATAAAAGGGTATATAGTAGTATAGACACACAGAGTCAATGTCGTAAACAACAATTGACCTTGAAGTAATGCTGTGAGATATTGCGCCTACGCGTTATGCACGTGTTCAGTGGTTTTTTTATCAAACACAACGACTGTCGGAATGTCTGGAATGTGTAGCGAAATCACATGGAAGGGGTATTCATCATTTACGAAACATTTACTTAAACTTAAACGAAAACGTCGGGGTGAATTGGCACGGCTGTATATAGGTTGTCACACATCAAACGCGCGGACTCGACGCGTACTATACATACGTTCAACCGTTAGCATGTAGGTACTCTGGAAAATGAACTTTTTTTTTTTTTGACCGACCCGACTAACATATATGTTATATAGTTGGGATTGTGTAACGGGCCAGCTGTAGTAGGTTTAGGTATGACGTCATAGGGCTTACTCCTTTGGTCAATGATGTGACGTCGTCAACTAGGGGGATGACGTCACGAGCTGCACCTGGATACAGTCCCCACGGGCGCGGTGCCGGGGGGGTGACGGTAGGTCAGGTGTGACCATGACGGAATGCATCTCACCTGTGCACCCATTGCACATTTTCCCGGGAACAATAGATGACGTAATTAGTCGGCACCTTTGAGAGCCCGTACCCGCTATTTCTATACTACTTATAATATTATTATTTTATTAATTTACTAATTATTATATAAAATTATAACTGTATATCAAAACTGTTATAATCATTATAATAATCGAATGGACAGTACATAAACTGAGAGCCAGATTACCGAGTACACTCTTAAATATTAATAGTACCGTACGGTTTTATTTTGAACTTTAAACTGTCCTAGTACTTATGAAAAATTACTGAGTTACTTATTGAAGACTGAACTTTCCAGACTCGTGGGTCGCTTGAACCGACCGTGAACAAAAATAATGCTACTTGGGATCAATTTATATTGAAATTTTACTGGGAGTCCCGTGATGTAGTTTATTTTTAGTTTAAACGATTACATAACGAGAAACCTGGAAAAACTCACGAATAATGTGATATTTTTTTAATTTCACGAGAATATTTCTTCTTTCATTAATTACACAATTTAATGATGTGTGGAATAGATTAAATAATGCATGGTCTCTTGGAAAATACTGTTAACATTTTAATGTAAAATCGTAATAAAATTTTTTTTAAAAGCTACAGTTGATTTTAATACAGTATAGAAAATTTTATAGTAAAGTCCTATTAAGGATTCTTAGTATAGTATTAAAAAAAAAGTTTTCTGAAATTTCAATAAAAAAATAATTACAAAAAGTTAAAACTATAAAAGACCTTTAATAATTTCATAAAATTTAATTAACACTTATAGAAATTAATATTTAACAATATACATACATTTGTTTAATTATTATTTGGAAAACCCAATACAGGGGGCTCGCGACACAATGGTGACGTGGCATAGTTGGATCAAGTATAATGATATCTGACTGGGATTAAAATCACTATCATAAAAAACGCTTCGATGCAAATCTTTAGATAGTGTTTAATTTTAAAAAATTGGTGGATTAATCCAGAAGCTACATTATCTGCTAGTTCCTTATTTTTATCCTGATTACTGAAAAAGTATGACGAATGAAAAAGGGATATAAATATTATTTTTAGCTTCGATGCGAAGCTGAGAAGGTATTAATTTTACTATGATGTGTTTTTTTTTTTTTTTTTNCAATAAGTTATAGCATTATATAGTTAAAAATGTAAAAAATAAAACGAGAATTTTCACACAAAAATAGCATTTGGTAGCCATTTTCACCGTGAAGACAGAATAAAGTCCAAAATTTTTTTTTCCATAATAAAGCACATTACATTAGCTTTAATTTAATATATATATATAAGTGTCACACTTGAAAGGTTATAAATATAAAAAAAATCGAATTAATTGGCCGCAACGAAAAATTTGTAACTTTGATTTGTGCATTGAAAAATTAAAAAGAAAAGGGTCACCAACCTACTGGACGAGACAATGTATTCTCGGACCACAGTAGGATTTTAAAAAGAAATTAAATTTTGAAACCAAACCTTATAAACTAAGGGGAGATGATNTACATTAAAAAACAATTTTTTTGGGGATGACCTTATATAAGGCCGTTGCCCATACCTTATAAACTAAGGGGAGATGATTTTTGAAAGGAAAAAGGATAATAAAATACACGAGTCCATTGAAGATGGAACATGCAAANGAAGCTACATTATCTGCTAGTTCCTTATTTTTATCCTGATTACTGAAAAAGTATGACGAATGAAAAAGGGATATAAATATTATTTTTTATAAAAAATTGTGTTGATCCATACACTTTTCAATAAGTTATAGCATTATATAGTTAAAAATGTAAAAAATAAAACGAGAATTTTCACACAAAAATAGCATTTGGTAGCCATTTTCACCGTGAAGACAGAATAAAGTCCAAAATTTTTTTTTCCATAATAAAGCACATTACATTAGCTTTAATTTAATATATATATATAAGTGTCACACTTGAAAGGTTATAAATATAAAAAAAATCGAATTAATTGGCCGCAACGAAAAATTTGTAACTTTGATTTGTGCATTGAAAAATTAAAAAGAAAAGGGTCACCAACCTACTGGACGAGACAATGTATTCTCGGACCACAGTAGGATTTTAAAAAGAAATTAAATTTTGAAACCAAACCTTATAAACTAAGGGGAGATGATTTTTGAAAGGAAAAAGGATAATAAAATACACGAGTCCATTGAAGATGGAACATGCAAAAAAAATAAGATGATAGTTAAGTTAAATTAAGGTTAAAAAAAAAGTTAATACAAGGCAAAAAGCCGAACGGTAAAAAAACCTCGTCTACAAATTAAAAGGGAACAGAGCGAAAAAGAGAAAGAAGAAAAAATATTAGTAACAAAAAAATAATTACACCAACACTTTTACAATTAGAGAATACGATAAACGTCTTCGGGTACCCACCGGCTATTAATCGCAGCATTACTGCTAAGCACGGTGGGTATACGCCCCAAGTAGGCGACTGGTTTTAAGCAGTTAGACTTAGCTTGCAAGACGTTGGGACACCCCGGAATAAAATGCACTACGTCACATTGTATCACATTGACTACACTGTATATGGCTGCCAAACTTCTTGTTTGCTAATACATAAATAATCGGCTAGTCGGATAATAAGAGTGTCTAAATATCGGAATACTTAGTCATGTGCGCATACACACAGGACGATACAATTATATTATTAAAAATAAAAAACGAAGCTTAAAATACATGGGCGTAATTAAAAATTTGAGTCTACGAGAGCTATAGTTCCATCATTTTTTAAAACCTATTTAATGTTACCCGAAATTCTAGGTATGCAATGTTAAGCAAAAAAACGGTAGAAACCCACTGTTTTACCGTAACGTGACATAGTTGAGACAAGTAAAGCTGATATCTGACAGTGATTAAAAACACTATCATAAGAAACGCTTCGATGCAAATCTTTAGATAGTGTTTAATTTTAAAAAATTGGTGTATTATTCCAAAAGCTACATGATCTGCTAGTTCTTTATTTATATCCTGATTAAAATAAAGTATGTCGAATAAAAGAGGGATATAAATATTATTTCTCATAAAAATTGTATTGATGTAAAATGTAGAAAATAAAATCTAGTATTTTAACACAAAAATAGCATTTGGTAGTCATTTTCACCAATATAATTTAATACTATAAATTTTACGGAGAAATTATAAAAAAATTATAAAGTATTTGTAAATTTTATTATTTCTATGGCAAATGTCTATAAAAATTGAAGGGTTTAAAATTCAAAACTTTTACCACATTTTAGCTTCAATGCGAAACTGAAAAGATATTAATTTTACCATGATATGTTTATTAGCTTCGATGCGAAGCTGAGAAGGTATTGGTTTTACTAAGATGTGTTTTTTTTTTTTTGTGTCTGTTACCACTTTTTCTCAGCTCTCACCAAACCGATTTCTTTCAATGATACATCAAAAGATCACAAATCGTATCTAGTCTAAGACATTACCCTCAAAAATTGAAAAAAATGCCCTCGTTCCCCGTAAATGGGGGAAACCTCCAAAAAAATTACAAATTTAAAAATCGCTAATTTTCGAAATTTTTTCAATTTTTTTTACTTAAAAGTGCCATAACTTTTTCAAAAATGAACATATCAATATAATTCTTTTTTATATAGATGCATAATATCATTACCTTTCATTTGGTATATTTTTTTCATAAATTTAACCCTTAACCTGCCCACAAGGGGGGATTTAAAATGACAACTTTTTCACAAAAAATTAATTTTTTTAACTTAAATTTTGAAAATGTTCCGGAAGGTCTGACACTTTTATATATATCTTAAATTAAAGCTAATGTAATATACTTTATTATGGTAAAAAAAAATTTCGGACTTTATTTTATCTTCACGGTGAAAATAGCTACCGAATGCTATTTTTGTGTGAAAATTTTCGATTTTATTTTTTACATTTTTAACTTTATAATGNCTACCGAATGCTATTTTTGTGTGAAAATTTTCGATTTTGTATTTTACATTTTTAATTTTATTATGATATAACTTTATGAAAAATGTATGGATCAATTCAATATTTTCGTGAAAAGTAGTACTTATAAACATCTTTCATTCGACATACTTTTTTTTTAAATCGGACTATTTCCCTATATACAAGCGGGGTTTAAATCTTAAAAATGCATGTAGAAAGTAGAACTTTTTCAACTTAAATTTTGAAAATGTTCCGGAAGGCCTGACACTTTTATATATATCTTAAATT